AACATGCCGGGTACAAAAACAAGTCTCAAATCCCACCGCTATACTCCTAACATACAACCATGGAGTTCTATGTAACGGTGATATATAAGGGCAACACAGACAATGTAGAAGGGGCCTCCACCTTTCGCATAGTTAGGAATTTGCACCGTGTAGAGATTACGATGCTTCCCATAAAAGTCTACCACAACTAACCAGATACCCCTTGATATTGGAATCCAATATATTCTTCACATATATGAAAAAGAACATGGTAGGAAGTAGGTATTTTACCCACGTTAGGGGCCTGAACCTGGGTATATCATGTGCCCCCATTTGCTCGGGTTCTAGATCCACTAGTACCCTAACGTGATGTTCACGTGATTACAAATTCACGTAGTCATTCTAGTAAGGATGCTAGGACCTGGCAAAAATTCCCCGATAGGGACAACATCCTAAGACACAAAATCTGTGCCAAATGAACCACAAAGGTCTAGGTCAAAAATTTATGGGCGCCTGCTTGTTGCTCCAATTATCACACATGGAAGCACATGATATACCTAGGTTCGAGCCCCTAATTTTTTTTGGGAGGGGGGGGGCAGGTGAAAGAATTTGAAGTAAGTGGCGAGTTTCCCCGCAGTGAGAAATGAGGGTATCAACCCGTTGAATCAACTTGCCCAAGTTCAAGGATCAACCCTCCAACACAATTAGAAACTCGTGCCCAACAATTCTTACTAGGTTGTCAGTCTCACTAGCTTTATTAGTTGCAACAAGTTATCGGTGTATTGTATGTCTAAAAATGTTTTTGTGTTTCTGAAATAATTAATTGTATAAAATAGAAGTGCATTTAAAAGTAAAGTGGTGGTTGTTTTTAGGAGTAAAAGATAGGGGTTCATAGGTTCACTAGTTGAAAGTGAAATTGTGCCCTTAATATTCTTTTGATATTGATGCCACACATTTATAAAGCACGGATATGTTTGCCAAGTGACTCTACATTATTTAGTGCCCTTTGTGTTGTTATATTGTGGACCATCAACCCACCAACATGACTAGGGTCAAGCCGTGTGCGACAACCAAAGATAAAGAGTACCTTTTTTTCTTGAGTGATAGGGATCGCACACTATTACAAGGGGATCAAAGGGTTGTGAAGATTTTGTTGAGTTCATCTTCACATATTTCAATGCCTATTCTTTGTTTATTCCACAACAAAAATTCCACGAGAAAAACCTAGGTCAACATGATCAATGGGGAAAAGACAGTCAACCAGATTGTCTACGACATTTGTGGCCAGACTGTCCATGTCATGGCGGCTAGCTTGGCTCGGGGTGCTGCTAAGATGGACAATACCCAAAATGACCTGGCGCTCTCGGCCTTAGGGTGATTCCTATTCCGACTGGGAGGTATAACCTAGTTGTGGGAATCGTCGCACTACACCAGCTTCTTCACTCCTTCTACTACTCTGCTATTTGGTGAGTTTGATTGTTACCCGCCATGTTCATATTGTTTGTTGGTGCAATGAATTGCCCCCTTGGGTTTTGGAGATTGTTGTCAGCAATAGTAAGGTATTGATTTGTTTGCTAGTGAACATAGAGTGATATAGTCCTTGACGTATCGAGAAGAACATTACATTCTAACAAGAAGTTTGAAGAACGTCACCGAGAAACATCTGCATTGTAGAGAATAGAGATATATATTTCAAGTAGAATCTATACTGAGAAGATTGTGTGGAGGAATTGAGCCCTTAAAATATTGATGATGCAAAGCAATTTTCAATCGGTGCATCCGAAGAAGAATTACCGCAGTCGAGAAGTTTGGAGGCGAAGTGAAGATGTGGTATTTGTTTCGTTGTTCTTCTTTCTATTATTTGAGTCATAGGGACACCGTACTATTAAGAGGGGTATAGCTATTCGAGACTTAAGTCTGTTGTGATGCTTAGCCGAAACCTATGCAAGACCGAGTGAAATCTCTCTGAGCTCCGAAAAATTCTACTTATCAGTCAGAGACGTTGTTCTTATGGACTACGAGAGATATCTTCCTGACCGAGGATTCATCTTTAGTTGTTCCTCAAGTAAAATTGTGATGTGCTCAAAATTCTAACCATTGGAAAATGTGTCATTTGGCCATTGGCTGGACTGTGTGTCCTAAATGATCATTTCCGATCAGGGAAGGTTGCGGCTATAAATAGCCACCCCACTCCAACTTTTTTCATTGGCTACTCTGCTTGAGATTTTGAGAAGATTGATTGAGCACCCCTCTCGAGAGATTTGAGTTTAAGATATGCTGAGAGAAAATCAGGAGACAAAACTTAGTGATTAACATCATAGTAGATCTGAGTTGAGAGTTCTTGTACCTATTACTCTTGAGAGTTGCACACTCTCTAGATAGATAGGTGTCGGCTTGAGTGTCGAAGAGTAATTATCTTCACCAAGTAAAGTCTTCGGCAATCAAGAGTAATTATGGTTCGTGAAGAAGTGTGTTGAAGGTTTGGAGATCACCGATAAGCATCTACCCGAGCGAATTCGACGGAAGTCTGATCAGCTCCGCGTTGAAGGAGAATAGGACGGAGAGAGGTTTGCTCATATATTCAATCACAAGTCCATCCAACTAGACATATCTCTTTTGCAGAAGAGTGAGTTGGTCTACCAAATCATCTGTCGCCATTGAGCACCACCGGTTCATTCTACTCAACTACAATACTTTTAGTAGTTTATCTTCAGTGCTTTGTGCCATTTATCTGTACATATCTCTGACCATTTATCTGTACCATTTATTATCTGTTGCTTGGCTATATTGTTTAGTGTATTTCAGTTTGTCGTGCTCAAAGTTGTTTGCTTGTATGCTCATCTGATAATCCTTTGGTTTTACTTTGTCATCCAAATGAGTTGTGCTCTAATGAACATATCTCAATAACATGTATGTAGTTCTTGTTTAGTCTTCATTCGTGATCTTTCATCCATGTTGTTCGCATTGTCCTCATTGTATGCTACCATTTGTTATCGTGAAGTTTCTCTGTTAATATACTAGGAGGATTATCACCACTTTCATTGAAAGTTATGCTTAGTCCTTCTCATCTAAATTGTTTTTCCTTCAGGTAGCCGTGACAATTTAGTTTTAGTTTTCATGTCTAGTTTTACTTCCGCCTTTTCACCTCGAGAGATTTGAAGTTTCGAAGGAAATTTTAAATCTCCCATTCAACCCCCCCTCTGGTCGACATACTCCCGATCCTAACAGTGTTCATGGGTGCGATCGTGTAGCATAATTATTTTGTTGCGTAGCACGTTCCCCTTCAATGGCATCATGAGCAAATATATGAGTACATGCATGTACGATTAGTGTATATGGTGTTATTTAGCATTGCTCTTATGTGCGAAGTGATTAAACAGCTCTAATTACAGGACATTCATGTTGTAACCCTTCTAATTCCGAAATTTTGACCTCAAAAGTATGGAAGAACTTTGTTACAAAAGTCTAGATTTCTGAGGTGTTTTTATGATGCTCCTCAGTATGTTGATCGCTAACCAAAGTTATGCTTCAGATTATTTGGGTTCAACCATAGTTGAGAGAGGTAAATTTTGGGATGAAGAAGGTTAGTAGATTTGATAAATACGGGGGTCACGCGTAAAGACAAAGTTTGGTCTTGGGTATATCCTAAGACACCCCTCATGTTGAAACAACAATGTGAACTGTCATGCTTAATGGTTTAGTAGGAAATTAAAATTTTGCCAACTTAACCATAGCAGCCATGGTAATTAGGAAAAGTGATTAGAGGTGTCTAACCTTTTATTTGTTTATACGTGTCAACCTCAGGGCAAGCTTTTTGCAACACGAAGACGACGTAGACTACTCCTGTATGTCTTCTTTTTGCGGGTAGGGTTGTACCATGTCTTCTTTTTGCGGGTAGGGTTATACCATGTCACTAAGTTATTAAGTGCCTATGATGTTAATCCATTGTTATGCAACTTATTTGATGTGCAGTAGACATGTTTTTTAGGGTGATCTCTCACTTAAAAATATCAAGTTGATAGTGTTCATCCAACTATAGTACTCTCTCTGTCCTATAATGTAAGACGTTTTTTGACACTAGTTTAGTGTCAAAAGACGTCTTACATTATGGGATGGAGGGAGTACCTTCTAAAAATACATGTTCCTTTAAATACACCATGTCCCATGGTATTATAGATGTGTAGTGTATAAGACGGGCATGAACGGTTCATGTTGCAAGCACACCTGGTTATCTTGACGAGAGAGTAAGAACGTTTTGATCTCCGAACACACACATCGAAAGATGAACAAGAGTCATATGAAGATACGATTGGTATGTTGACCTACCAATCTCGTTGCTACTCTATCGGTGATGTCACTCAATGGTGTAATAATTGAGTCGTGGATCTTGAATCAATAGTAATCAATTATGGGAGATGTTGATTTTAGTAGAAGCACACTTTAATTTGTTAATATGATTTGCATTAATTATGAACGATGTCTATGTCACAAAATGAATCGTGATAGCGCACGGAGAAAAATGTGATTAATTGTGAAGCATATCTTAGTGTTGGAATTTGGAAAGGAAGCATCACGTGTACACAGAAATATTTGTGATTGTAGGAACTTCATATATGGAACCAACGTGAATGGAGGAAGTTTGTTTGGAAAACTACGAGAGATGGAAACAGCTGTGAATAAAAGAAACTCGTTTCAACTGCCAAGGGGATGTGGACGCTGTTTCAAGAATGCATCCAACGCTCAAGAACTTTTTGATCGAACACTCATCTTTTTTTTTTGAGGGGTCGAATGCTCATCTACTGGTCTGATGGCAAAGATGATTCCCTCACATTTGCGAGGGCCACTGTGCTAGTTAAGGCAACATCAGGAAGACAATGGTCATTTTTTCTGCACGGCAAGAGATCTGATTGATAGAAGCATTTTCATCAATACGTCAACCTCCATAATCAACCCACTTTGATTAAGTTGTTTGGGTTCAATCTTTGTATGTGAATCCAACTAAACTCTGTCAAAAATGCCAACTATTTCGAAATTATCCAACAACCAGTTCTCATGACAGCAAGAAGAAGATAAAAGAGGCCTAAATCATTGATACTTTTTTGTGTAGAATCATTCATAAGGGCAACCAAGACCATCTCGTAGCTGTTGGTAGCAATGGGGGAAATATCCCAGATTCCCAATGCAAAACAGACAGAACCATGGCCTGGAGCGGCAGAGATAGTACTGGTTATTTATGCATCAGAAGCAGGTCAAATTTAGGTTACTTACACATCTCAATTGAGTGGAAAAAGAATGATCCTCGGAATATCTTATGTACATAGCCGTTTTATTTTCAGTGTAGAAACACATGCATAGCTTGATTTACACTGCTATTTACCTTTCTATGTACCATGAGAACAAGCATTTTACACAGCTGTGTTACCTACATTCTAAGAAGATAGCACAAACAAGACATCATATATTACACATCTTGCCTACAAACAGGGCACGAACCATGGCCAATGAGCCATTTGTCCACACAGGGCTGATGGAAGGTGTGACAACACTTCGGCAGCCTCCTCGCCATCTCTCCCGTCATGATATCCTAGGACAAGAACAGAGTGTCAGGGCGTAAGAAACAAAGTTCAAATACGGACTGTCCGTCCAGATACATGGGTGATATTAAGGGTGTATTTTGATTGGTTAAAACAAATTTCACTGGATTCATATATAAAGTACTTACAATTGTGATTCCGACATTTCGTACCACATAAACTACATATTAAAGGAGTAATTGTTGATTAAAACCTTGTTTTAACCAATTAAAATACACCCTACATATCCAGACAGTTCAAATATCGAGGTTGTGTCATCATATATAAATGGCAGTACATATTAAACTCCCATGCATTCATAAACTAACTCACAATTTCAAAGAAAGCAGAGCCAAAATTTGCTTACTTACACTGAAAAGACATATCAATTTGGAAAATAACATATAACGTGAGGGTGACAACTCATGCTACTAACTAATTTGCTCCTGAGAGCTGGTCAACAAATTTGCTAAATATTCAGAAATAACACATAGGTCTGGGTAAAACAAAAATTAAGCAAGGAAGAGACACTCCAGGTACAAATTCGACCAAGTATTGTGTGGTTATCTACTAAGTTTTAAATTTTGAGAATTCCAATGATTACCCACCTTCAAAAAGCACATTATCACATAAGATTATTTCAAATAGTCCAACTCCAAACAGATAAGATGTTACCACCACATATTTTAGACAATAAATAATTCCAGCTTCTACACAGTGAAATCCGTATGGAGTTACTTAGATTAAGGAAATTAAAAATAAGATGGTTTGGAAATAATTTCCATAATTCTTACCTCCATTATACCAATCAAAAGTAAGATGATTTCGAATCGTTCAGCCAGACAACATATACATCTACCAGACTATCAATTAAGGCAGCATAAATTACAGATTGGATGGTGAAGTTATTTCCCTGCTAGGTAAAATCCAATAAATCATATATGTAACTGTTACACTTGTACCTGTAGGCAAATAGGGCAAGACAAGTTTTCACCAGCTGGCTCTTGTTTCTGATCAATCACCACATGGTATGGCAACTTCTTCAAGTTATCCTGTGAGAGCCCATCGGATGAAACTTCTCCAGTGATATCATACGGATCATCATTGCCAAACTCTGCAATACCAACCTGTTGAATGTCTTAACTTCAGTACGAAAAATTATGTGTGCAGCAAAGGGTAGAAACTTCACTATAACAATTATATTTTGTTTTAGCTGACCTCACCATACAATTTACATAAAACACACTATGAAATGGATTAGTATACAGGTAAAAAACGTGGTCACAAAAATGAGCAACTGCAAGAACCCTCCAATTAATAGGAAGCATGAAGAGAATAACTTTCATTTGGGCACACTTCCTTGCAGAGGATACCGCATTAGCACTGTTAGGGGTATAGAACAATTGACCTGCCAACGATATGACATATACACTGATGGCTCATACTGCTCTCCCACGAACCGAGCATGAAGGAGCTGATCCACGAAATCCCCCTGGAAATCGAACACACATTTTCTGTAAGCAAATCCTCAGTGGATGGATCAATAACGTGTCATCCACTGACTGAAGTATATAATATATTTAACGAACGTACTGTACTTTATAAACAATGAAGAACACTCTCTATAATCGAGGCAAAAAAATGCAAGCAGCTGTTCGAATTTAAAGACCAATCAAAATGACGAGCTGCGGCAGGAATGTTACTATCCAATCGCATTTATTTGGCAAAAATAAAAACGTTATATTCTGCCAAATTTTGTAAACTGATTTGCTGAAGAATCTTACGGTACGGACCATGGATGATGTACTCTGCGGTGTTGACCTGTCGGCGCACCAATAGGCGCGGGAAGCCTCCAGGACCTCAATGGACAGGACAGCGCCAGCAAATGCCCCCAGTCCGGCTCCCCGGAGAACGCCGCTGTCCGAAGCTCTCCCAGCCAACGCGCCGGTGACTGCCCCCGTCAGGCCTCCAGCTTCGGACAATCACAAATCGACATCAAAATACGATCACACGAACCAAAAGATCGGCTGCTAAGTCAATAAACTTTGCTATCGCTACGAATTTTTTTGGCCTTGAAGGGTTTGTTGGACCAAGAAATGGCCAAGAGACCCAATCCCTTCTCCACCAACCAATAGAGAGCTCGAAATCACCGACAAACGCGTCACAACCAAACACAGGAGCCAGGGCGCGTACCGACCGCGAAGAGGCCGGTGAGCACACCGGAGAGAACGCCGGCGACGAGCCTGGGGAGATACGGCGGGGCGGGGCGCTCCTGCTCCGCCGCCGCCGAAGCCGGGTGTCGCGGCGGGATCGCCTCTCCTGTCGCCGCCTCCATCACGATCCACGGACACGAGGCCTCCGCGCCGAAGCTTAGCACGGCGTCGGCTGTGGCGTGCGCGCTGGCTGGGGCATAGAGGAGGAGGGTGGCTCGCCGGCAAGGGAGGGGGTGGGGGGATGAGGCGTGACGCAACCCGGAAACAAGTCGCCGCTTGGCTGCTGCTTGCTGGTGCCCGTTGCTTAAAGATTTTCTGGGTTCTGTTCCATTTTCTACGTTAGTACAAATCTGTATTCCTGGACTTTTTAACACGCTATATAATCGCAGATACCCACATACACACATCTTATCTCTATAAGCATCTGGCATTGGGGCCAACCAGGCTATGGCCCGTCAGCCCGGTGCCGGATCCTCTGACATTGTGGAGAGATGTCACAGCTTGACATTCCTTCAGAAAAATGGACGTATTGTACTGAAAAAAACTTGCTCGTCCAAATCGAAAAAGAAAAAATGAAAGAGGCTTGTTGTTCCCGTCGAACTCCACCGCCGCCTCGCTCGCGTTGCCGTGATCCGCCGACCTCGCGCCAAATCACCGCCGCGATTGGACGGCCTACGACCTCGCGCTTAGTCGTTGTCGGTTCGCCGCCACGGACCTTGCGCCTCTTTGTCGCTGCCGATTCGTTGACCTGTTGTGTGTCTGCTCGCGCCGCCGACGATTCATGGACCTCACCCGCACCTCCGTCCGCACCTCCGGCGGCTCATCTCCATCATCATCCCAGTCTGCGTCTCCACCCCCTCCGCTGAAGAAACTTCCTTGCTCCATCACCTCCCGAAAGGTAATAACAAGCTTCTGAGTTTTTGAAATAAGTGTAAAAACCGTTTCTCTTGTTGCATATGTATGAATAGTTACGATTGCAATTTTAGTGTTTAGTTTTTTTGTTGCCTCTGAAAGAGGAATGCATCTGACAACAACAAAATTAAATCTTGAATTGAACCAATTGACACTGATTTATCGTGTGATTGGTGAGTATGAAAGAATAGACATTGCGACACATTGCTAATCATAAATGAAGGAAATATGCCCTAGAGGCAATAATAAAGTTATTATTTATTTCCTTATATCATGACAAATGTTTATTATTCATGCTAGAATTGTATTAACCGGAAACATAATACATGTGTGAATACATAGACAAACAGAGTGTCACTAGTATGCCTCTACTTGACTAGCTCGTTGATCGAAGATGGTTATGTTTCCTAACCATAGACATGAGTTGTCATTTTATTAACGGGATCACATCATTAGGAGAATGATGTGATTGACTTGACCCATTCCGTTAGCTTAGCACTTGATCGTTTAGTTTGTTGCTATTGCTTTCTTCATAACTTATACATGTTCCTATGACTATGAGATTATGCAACTCCCGTTTACCGGAGGAATACTTTGTGTGCTACCAAACGTCACAACATAACTGGGTGATTATAAAGGTGCTCTACAGGTGTCTCCGAAGGTACTTGTTGGGTTGGCGTATTTCGAGATTAGGATTTGTCACTCCGATTGTCGGAGAGGTATCTCCGGGCCCTCTCGGTAATGCACATCACTCAAGCCTTGCAAGCATTGCAACTAATAAGTTAGTTGTGGGATTATGTATTACGGAACGAGTAAAGAGACTTGCCGGTAACGAGATTGAACTAGGTATTAAGATACCGACGATCGAATCTCGGGCAAGTAACATACCGATGACAAAGGGAACAACGTATGTTGTTATGCGGTCTGATCGATAAAGATCTTCGTAGAATATGTAGGAGCCAATATGAGCATCCAGGTTCTGCTATTGGTTATTGACCGGAGACGTGTCTCGGTCATGTCTACATAGTTCTCGAACCCGTAGGGTCCGCACGCTTAAAGTTCGGTGACGATCGTAATTAGGGTTTTTGTGTTTTGATGTAACCGAAGGTTGTTCGGAGTCCCGTATGTGATCACGAACATGACGACGAGTCTCGAAATGGTCGAGACATAAAGATTGATATATTGGAAGCCTATATTTGGATATCGGAAATGTTCCGGGTGAAATCGGGATTTTACCGGAGTACCGGGGGGTTGCCGGAACCCCCCCGGGGGTTATTGGGCCTACATGGGCCATAAGGGAGAAGAGGAGGGCCGGCCAGGGCAGGCCGCACGCCCCCTCCCCCCTAGTCCGAATAGGACAAGGAAGGGGGGGGGGCAGCGCCCCCCTTTCCTCTTTCTCCCTTCCCCCTTCCTTTTCCAACAAGGCAAGAGGGGGGAGTCCTACTCCCGGTGGGAGTAGGACTCCTCCAGGTGCACCCCTAGGGCCGGCCGCACCTCCCCCTCTCCCTCCTTTATATACGGGGGCAAGGGGCACCCCATGACACACAAGTTGGTCTTCGTGATCGTTCCTTAGCCGTGTGCGGTGCCCCCTTCCACCATATTCCACCTCTGTCATATCGTAGCGGTGCTTAGGCGAAGCCTTGCGTCGGTAGAACATCATCACCGTCATCACACTGTCGTGCTGACGAAACTCTCCCTCAATGTTTTGCTGGATCGGAGCTCGAGGGACGTCACCGAGTTGAACGTGTGCAGAACTCGGAGGTGCCGTACGTTCGGTACTTGGATCGGTCAGATCGGGAAGACTTACGACTACTTCCTCTACGTTGTGTCAACGCTTCCGTTGCCGGTCTACGAGGGTATGTAGACAACACTCTCCCCTCTCATTGCTATGCATCACCATGATTTTGCGTGTGCGTAGGAAATTTTTTGAAATTACTATGTTCCCCAACAGTGGCATCCGAGCCTAGGTTTTATGCGTTGATGTTATTTGCATGAGTAGAACACAAGTGAGTTGTAGGCGATATAAGTCATACTGCTTACCAGCATGTCATACTTTGGTTCGGCGGTATTGTTGGATGAAGCGGTCCGGACTGACATTACGCGTACGCTTACGCGAGACTGGTTCTACCGACGTGCTTTGCACACAGGTGGCTGGCGGGTGTCAGTTTCTCCAACTTTAGTTGAACCGAGTGTGGCTACGCCCGGTCCTTGCGAAGGTTAAAACAACACCAACTTGACAAACTATCGTTGTGGTTTTGATGCGTAGGTAAGAACGGTTCTTGCTAAGCCCGTAGCAGCCACGTAAAACTTGCAACAACAAAGTATAGGATGTCTAACTTGTTTTTGCAGGGCATGTTGTGATGTGATATGGTCAAGACATGATGCTAAATTTTATTGTATGAGATGATCATGTTTTGTAACTGAGTTATCGGCAACTGGCAGGAGCCATATGGTTATCGCTTTATTGTATGCAATGCAATTGCGCTGTAATGCGTTACTTTATCACTAAGCGGTAGCGATAGTCGTGGAAGCATAAGATTGGCGAGACGACAATGATGCTATGATGGTGATCAAGGTGTCACGCCGGTGACGATGGTGATCATGACGGTGCTTCGGAGATGGAGATCACAAGCACAAGATGATGATGGCCATATCATATCACTTATATTGATTGCATGTGATGTTTATCTTTTATGCATCTTATCTTGCTTTGATTGACGGTAGCATTATAAGATGATGTCTCACTAAATTTCAAGATAAAAGTGTTCTCCCTGAGTATGCACCATTGCCAAAGTTCGTCGTGCCCAGACACTATGTGATGATCGAGTGTGATAAGCTCTACATCCATCTACAACGGGTGCAAGCCAGTTTTGCACACGCAGAATACTCAGGTTAAACTTGATGAGCCTAGCATATGCAGATATGGCCTCGGAACACTGAGACCGAAAGGTCGAGCGTGAATCATATAGTAGATATGATCAACATATTGATGTTCACCATTGAAAGCTACTCCATTTCACGTGATGATCGGTTATGGTTTAGTTGATTTGGATCACGTGATCACTTAGAAGATTAGAGGGATGTCTTTCTAAGTGGGAGTTCTTAAGTAATATGATTAATTGAACTTAAATTTATCATGAACTTAGTACCTGATAGTATCTTGCTTGTCTATGTTTATTTGTAGATAGATGGCCCGTGCTGTTATTCCGTTGAATTTTAATGCGTTCCTTGAGAAAGCAAACTTGAAAGATGATGGTAGCAATTAAACGGACTGGGTCTGTAACTTGAGGATTATCCTCATTGCTGCACAAAAGAATTACGTCCTGGAAGCACCGCTAGGGTGCCAGGCCTGCTGCTGGAGCAACACCAGATGTTATGAACGTTTGACAGAGCAAAGCTGATGACTACTTGATAGTTCAGTGTGCCATGCTTTACGGCTTAGAATCGGGACTTCAACGACGTTTTGAACATCATGGAGCATATGAGATGTTCCAGGAGTTGAAGTTAATATTTCAAGCAAATGCCCGGATTGAGAGATATGAAGTCTCTAATAAATTCTATAGCTGCAAGATGGAGGAGAATAGTTCTGTCAGTGAACATATACTCAAAATGTCTGGGTATCATAATCACTTGACTCAACTGGGGGTTAATATTCCTGTTGATAGTGTCATTGACAGAGTTATTTAATCACTGCCACCAAGCTACAAGAGCTTCATGATGAACTATAACATGCAAGGGATGGATAAGACAATTCCTGAGCTCTTCGCAATGCTAAAGGCTGCGGAGGTAGAAATCAAGAAGGAGCATCAAGTGTTGATGGTCAACAAGACCGCCAGTTTCAAGAAAAATGGCAAAGGGAAGAAGAAGGGGAACTTCAAGAAGAATAGTAAGCAAATTGCTGCTCAGGAGAAGAAACCAAAATCTGGACCTAAGCCTGAAACTGAGTGCTTCTACTGCAAGCAGACTGGACACTGGAAGCGGAACTGCCCCAAGTATTTGGCGGATAAGAAGGATGGCAAAGTGAACAAAGGTATATGTGATATACATGTTATTGATGTGTACCTTACTAGAGCTCGCAGTAGCACTTGGGTATTTGATACTGGTTCTGTTGCTAACATTTGCAACTCGAAATAGGGACTACGGATTAAGCGAACACTGGCAAAGGACAAGGTGACGATGCGCGTGAGAAATGGTTCCAAAGTCGATGTGATCGCAGTCGGCACGCTACCTCTACATCTACCTTCGGGATTAGTTTTAGACCTAAATAATTGTTATTTGGTGCCAGCGTTGAGCATGAACATTATATCTGGATCTTGTTTGATGACAGATGGTTATTCATTTAAATCAGAGAATAATGGTTGTTCTATTTATATGAGTAATATCTTTTATGGTCATGCACCCTTGAAGAGTGGTCTATTTTTGATGAATCTCGATAATAATGATACACATATTCATAATGTTTAAGCCAAAAGATGCAGAGTTGATAATGATAGTGCAACTTATTTGTAGCACTGCCGTTTAGGTCATATCGGTATAAAGCGCATGAAAAAACTCCATACTGATGGACTTTTGGAATCATTTGATTATGAATCACTTGGTACTTGCGAACCGTGCCTCATGGGCAAGATGACTAAAACGCCGTTCTCCGGTACTATGGAGAGAGCATCGTATTTGTTGGAAATCATACATACAGATGTATGTGGTCGATGAATATTGAGGCTCGTGGCGGATATCATTATTTTCTCACCTTCACAGATGATTTAAGCAGATATGGGTATATCTACTTAATGAAACATAAGTCTGAAACATTTGAAAAGTTCAAAGAATTTCAGAGTGAAGTTGAAAATCATTGTAACAAGAAAATAAAGTTTCTACGATCTGATCGTGGAGGAGAATATTTGAGTTACGAGTTTGGTCTACATTTGAAACAATGCGGAATAGTTTCGCAACTCACGCCACCCAGAACACCACAG